GGAGGGGGGATTATGGGGGGGGGGTTGTTTTTCGGGGGTTGGGCTTGGCCCCTTAGTTCCAGTGAAGGGAACTCTTAAGGCAGGGGTGCCCACAATTTTTGTGTTAAGATCTACTTTTCAAATGACGAGCTACATGAGAGCTACCAACAAAAAAAACAACTCCCTCGCTCTCGCGGCTGTCTCTCCTGGCTGTCATTCCTCGTTTTTTCTTCTGGCTGTCTGTCTTTGCTCTCTCTCTCCTGGCTCACCTTGCTGTATTTTGTAACAGGCTGTGTAAACTAATATTCTTTGATGTAATACGTAGCACTTCAACCACCAGAATCCACCAGAAAGGTGTCGGGGAGCTTGGCTCAGCAGACTCAGGCTAATAGGTAATCATGTGTGCACAGCTATTACACCAAAATGGAATAAAGGGGCCGCCATTCCCCCCCTTCGTGATCTACCAGTGTCAGCTTTGAGAGCTACTGGTAGATCACCATCTACCTAATGGGCACCCCTGTATTAAGACATCAGCATATCAAGCCATTTTGGACAATTTCATGCTCCCAACTTTGTGGGAACAGTTTGGGGACGGCCCCTTCCTGTTCCAACATGACTGCGCACCAGTGCACAAAGCAAGGTCCATAAAGACATGGGTGGGGGAGTTTGGGGGGGAGGAACGTGACTGGACTGCACAGAGTCCTGACCTCAACCCCATAGAACACCTTTGGGATGAATGCGAGCGGAGACTGTGAGCCCGGCCTTCTCCTCCAACATCAGTACCTGACCTCACAAATGGTCCAACATTCCCATAGACACACTCCTAAACCTTGTGGACGCCTTCCCAGAAGAGTTGAAGCTGTTATAGCTGCAAAGGGCGGAGCCAACTCAATATTGAATCCTACGGACTAAGACTGAGATACCATTAAAGTTCATGTGCGTGTAAAGGTGTCCCAATACTTTTGGCAATATAGTGTAGATTGGACTCACTGCACGTTTCTTTGTCCCCTTTCCTGTCATTCCGGACCTATGTCAGCAGTGATAGTGATCTGGACATCTGTAGAGCTCATCACTTTCGCGGCACCCGCGGGTATCGCTGAGATAAAATAAATGGTTCCGGGTCTCTGCGTCCAGTTTTGGGGGGTTTTAGGTCACTTTCCAGCCGATGACGCAGATTGTAACGTGTGAGAAATAATAATCGTTCCACCAGAATGGTTACATTGTATTGACATGTAAAGAAAATAACTTTTTGATACTTTTTGTTTGGTTCCGTTTCTCCATCTTCAATCTCCGTGTCTCCTCAGATGACGGAACTCTACAGTCACATTCAGGACAAGCTGGATAAAGGAGCCGCGAGGGGTCAGTAACCAATCACCTCCCTTTATTCTCCCGTTACCGCTATGTTACATTGTCCTCTTTCATCAATAAAATGTTGTGATGACGGCTTCCGTGGCTGAGCTTCTGTTGAAGCGTACGCCTCTTGTGTACCCCTCCCCCCCCCCTCACTTTTTTCTCATTTGTATTTTATTTTGATTGAATAAAAAAAAAAAAAAAATTTCCCCCGTGCCGCTGCAGTGGGACAATCCGGTGTTTTTATTCTGAGTCACGGCACACTTTTATACTACGCGAAATCTCCAGGCACCCCAGTCCAAGGCCCCGTTCAGACTTTCCCGTCACGTTACTGCGCAACACATTTTGCCGTGTGTCAGCCTATTCATTTTCGATGGGCCGCCGCACACGCAACGAACACGGCAAAGAAGCTCATGCAGCATTTTGAGGTGCAATCTTCACGTGGCCTTTGACCACTTCACGTGGCATTTGACGGCATTTCAACATACGGGCTGTGTTTGGGGTGCCTTAAAGAAGTCATGACACCGCATGCGCATCACGGATCCACGACTTTTTTTTCGACCGCGGCATTGCGGTACCATGCGTTGGAGCACAGTCGAGCGCATTGTGGGTAGGCAAGCATCTTTGTGGTACCATTAAAATGAATGGTAAAGCACAACACTTGCCACACTGTAACACACAGTAGCATGCATTCATCACACAGGACCGTGCGATTACCACACGGCATTGGTGTGAACAAGCCCTAAGAGGAGTGATGCCTCCTGGTTTCTTCCTCTCCTCACCGGCAAACATCCGCACAGCTCTCATCCCGCCCCTTCCTGCTTCCTCAGTCCCAAAAGACAGGGTGGCTGCGGGACGTCTGGCACTGCTCCTACGTGTAATAAACTTGTACCCCTAATCCAACAGAAGGGGGCGTGTCCATGACACCCTGGACTCAGCAGACAGGACGCCGGGTGTCATTCCACTAGGAGGATACAGGGGGCAGTACTGAAGAGGGGGATGGGGAAACAGGAAGCATTGTAAAAAAACAAATGACAGCCGGCGTTGGGGAGTCATTAATATAAACCAGGAACAGAATTCCATGTTTTAGAAGAGAGCCCACTCTAAAAGGGGGAAACACAGTCACTGCTGGGAGGGTGGAGCAGGGAGAGCTAAGCTGCAGTGTCACTGATGGGAGGGGTGAGTTAAGCTGCCTGGTCCCTGCTGGGAGGATGGAGCTGAACTGCAGAGTCTCTGCTGAGAAGAGGAGGGAGCAGCTGGAGCTGAGCCGCTGAGTCACTGTTGAGAGGGGAAGCTGAGTTGCTGGGTCAATGATGGGAGAGGGAGCTGAGT